CACACAACGCACAGTGAACCTGTGGAACTCCTTGCCAGGGGATGTTGTGAAGGCCAAAAGTATAACAGGGTTAAAAAAAGAACTAGATAAGTTCATGAAGGATAGGTCCATCAATGGCTATTAGCCAAGAAGGTCAGGGACGCAACCCCATGCTCTGGGTGTCCCTAAACCTCTGACTGCCAGAAGCTGGACAACAGGGGATTGATCACTCGATAATTGCCTGTTCTGTTCATTCCCTCTGAAGCATCTGGCATTCGCTACTGCCGCAGGACAGGATACTGGGCTAGATGAACCATTGGTCTGACCCAGTATGGCCGTTCTTATGTTCTTACATATAACCTGACCCTCACAAGCCCCAGTGGGCTGGCCTTCCTAGCCCCTAGAAACAGCCATCGCTGTCTGGGATTCTTGCACCAGATTGCTCTGCTCCCTGGCAACCACCATTGCTAAGCTCCGAGGCACTGGGGTGGTGTGTGATTGGGAGAGGGTTAGAGCTCCCCCACCACTCGCAAGGCCTGGGAGCTCCAGACACATTTCTGCAGCAGACGGAAACCTGCAGCATGAAATTGTGGGGTCTGTAGCAATCCAAGCAGTACCATCCCCTGCCACGGAGGGCTGCACAGGTAGCACCCTCCTAAGGGGTGGTGGAACAGGCCCACTCCTCCTGCATGCTGGGCAGCAGCACAGTGGACTTCCCTGAAATGCAATGCCATCTGAAGCTCCCTGGGAGGTGATGTAGCTCCACACAGCTCCCATTGCAGAGCTGTACCTTAGCCCTCAGCCTTTTCCCTGCTGTCTGGAGGTGGAGGGCTATACTGCATGGGAAGATCTCCCTGTGAAAACCCTCAAAGCCACTTTCAAAGCTTTCCTTAAAACTCCCCTCTGCGGCAATGCCTATGATGCCCTCAGCTATGGCCAGGCAGCTGGTGTGCTATGACCACTCTCTGTTATAATCAGAATGGTCTTACTAAGTGCATTGCCACAGACGCTGTGCAAACCCATAACAGTGAAGGTCCTTGCCCCCAAAGAGCCACAATCAGCCATCGGGCGTGTGCACCAGGTAACCAGACGATTTTCCCTTTGGTTTGTTGAGTCCACCGCTCATCTCCCATTTTATTCTTAGACACTAAGGGCATGTCTACATTACAATAAAGGATCTGCAGCATGGCTGCAACTTGTCCAAATCAGATGACTCGAGCTCGCAGGACTCAGACTGTGGGGCTAAAAATTTCAGTGTAGACATTTGGGCTTTAGGCTCGGGCTGGAGGTTGGGCTCTGACACCCTCCTGCCTTGCGGGATCTCAGAGCCCAGGCTCCAGCCCAAGCCCAGATGTCTACCCTGCAATTTTTAGCCCCATAGCCTGAGCCACGCAAGCCCACGTTTATTGACCCCGGCTCTGAGCCACAGGTTTTTTATTACAGTGTAGACAGCCCCTAAGCTCTCTGGAGCAGGGACCATTTCTTTGTTATAGGTTTGTACAGTGTCCAGCACAGGGACATCCTCATCCCTAAATTGGGGCCTCTAGGAACACAGGCATTGCCAGACTGGATCAGACCCATGATTCATCTAATCCACTCTCCTGTCTCTGACCCTGGCCAGCATCAGATGCCTCAGAGGAAGGTGTAAAAACCCCACAGTAGGCAGAGGTAGGGTAACCTGCCTCCATGAAGATCTCATCTTAATCCCTTAGAACTTGTTTGAAACCCGGAAGCCCAAGGGTTAATTTCCTTTCCAAAATGCTTTTAGTTTAGCATTTACTATTATAACTCTGGGTACTATTGTTGCCTGTAGATACTAATGTAATACAAACAATAATGACAAGCTTTGGACTCAATCCTGCAAACACCTATCTATGCTTGTACTTTATGCATTTCAGTACTTCCATTGATCTCATTATAGAACTCCTATTCCTCAGATAAAGAGAAGCGTGTGTTTCTATGTTTACAGGGTCAGTGCCTATCTCCTCAGCAGACATGCACTCAACAACCACCGTTGTGGAGACGGTTCATATATAAGTAAACACAGAGGAGTGTTTTTTTGGCGGGCATGAACTATTTCAGGGGTGGGCAAACTATGGCCTGGGGGCTGCATCCGGCCCTTCAGACATTTTAATCCGTCCCAGGTCTTGCCCCACTTCGGCGCTTCAGTTGGGTAGCAGAGTCGGGGGCTTGCCCCGCTCCAAGCGGTTCCTGGAAGCAGTGGCATGTCCCCCTCTAGCTCCTACAAGTAGAGGCAGCCAAGGGGCTCTGCATGCTGCCCCCATCCCAAGTGCAACCCACACAGCTCCCATTGGCTGGGAACCATGGCCAATGGGAGCTGCAGGGGCGGTGCCTGCGGGTGGGGCAGCATGCAGAGCTGCCTGGCCGCGCCTCTCCATAGGAGCCAGAGGGGGGACATGCCACTGCTTCTGGGAATTGCTTGAGGTAAGTGTCGCCTGGAGCCTGTACCCCTGACCCCCTCCTACACCCCAATCTCCTGTCCCAGCCCTGATCCCTCTCCTGCCATCTGAACCCCTTGGTCCCAGCCCGGAGCACCCTCCTGCACCCCAAACCCTGATCCCCAGCTCCACCTCGGAACCTGCACCCCCAGCTGGAGGTCTTGCCCCCCTCCTGCACCCCAACCCCCTGCCCCAGCCTGGAGCCCCTTCCTGCACAATGAACTCCTAATTTCTGGACCCACCACAGAGCCCACACCCCCAGCCAGAGCCCTTCCACACCCCAACTCCCAATTTCGTGAGCATTCATGGCCCACAATACAATTTCCATACCCAGATGTGGCCCTCGGGCCAAAAAGTTTGCCCACCCCTGAACTATTTTCTCCTTCCTCTGAAGGAGGACACTGGCTATTGCCAGAGACAGGATATAGGGCTTACTGGACCCATTGTATGATCTGGTATGGAAGGGCCTGTTAACTAATGGCTCCATGGATCCTCCCAAAGCTACTTCACTCAAACACAAAGGGAGAGAAGGCCGGGACATGGCAAACACCACAGGAGGAGATCCACATTTGAAGCCAACACTCCTGAACTAAAAAAGTCGTAGAAGTGCCAGAAATGAAGGTTCTGAGTCTGATTTTGCAGTGACCTGGCTTTCCCTACTTCCTCCTCCAACAACCTAACCAGTCCGTAAATAGAGATCTGGGTGGAACTTCCTGCTTCCAGCCGGCACTGGTCACTGCCGTTAAGATTGCAAAAGAGTTTCTGGCAGCGCACCCGGTTCTTTTGTTTTCTGAAAATAACGCCTCGTGGGGCTGTCATTTGCCATGTTTGGCAATGGGGAACTTGTCTGGTGAGTCTGACTAAGTCCCCTTCGGTCACTTCAGGAGAGGAAATTTACAAAGTTCTTTTCGGTTTTTGTTTTAAACAGGGCTATGGCCAAAAAACCAACAACCCTGAAGCGTGAAAGCTCTTTTGGACAGTGCCCTCACTAAGGGTTGCTGCCTTGGCAAGGTATTGAAAGAACTGGTTTAGGAGGGCTCGGGAGCGTTCACGTGGGAGAGTACTTCTGTATGCTGAAGCCACGACAACTGTGTTGTGCAGTGCTGCTGTTGCAACCGCTGCTGCGCCGTTTCTCCTGTGAACGTGGTGGTCCAGATCCTGGCCTGTGGCTGAGCATTCGGTGCAGCTCCGGAAGGGCAGCGCAAAAGGGTTTGAAGCTCCATTTGGGTCCCATTCCCCCTCCCTATCCCCCAATCCTGGAGTTATGTGAGTGCTGGGCCATTCCCTGCAGGAAGAAGGAGCAGCTTCAGGGCTGCTCTGTTTTATGCTGGCTGCCCATGCTGCTGTCCTGGCAGCCACAGATCGTCATGGCATAAGGATGCACCAGCCACACCCCCTTTTCTCCAGCCAGGCCCCCTCCGTGTCAGCAGCCAGGAAGGGCCAGTTCAGAGGCTGCCACCGGAGGATCCCCCTGCAGAATGAAAACCCTCCAGTGGCTCCATCTACCAGAAGGGCACAAAGAAGCTCTAACAGACTCTCGCTATTCAGACCCCTTCCCTATTTAGCTTTCACCTTCCCTCCTATCCCCAAGGATGACTGACCCCAGCTCAGTTGCATCAGGGAAGGTGCGGAGAGTGGAACCAGACCAGTGCTTCTCCCCCACAGGAAGCAGCAGCTCCTGGCTAACGCTGCCTGGCACGGAGCTATCAACTCTAGCAAACAGTGAGGAGAAGCAAAGCATCATGGGGAAGGAGGGGCCAGAGGCTAGCGGGGGAATGGGTTGACAATGCTAAGCAGAACTCACTCGGAGTATTTTGTCTCCTGGTGCCTTGGATACTCATAAAGGGCCTGATCCTAGAAGCTGCTGGGCACCCACAATTCCCACTGACGTTCAGCTCAGCACCTACCAGGAGCTGGTCCACACTAGGTCCTGCAAAACTCCCACTACAGCCAGGCTGTCTCGGGCCCTGAGCTGCCTCTCCTTGCACTGCTGTGTCTGACACTCGCTCCTGTGCCGGGGCAGCAAAAGGCCTCGCCTCCACAACAGAGCTTGAGTTGGGAGTTACGGATGCCTTGGCCTCGTGCTGGCCCTCTGCACAGGGGGGAGTTTCACCAAGGCCGTGCTGGGGCTGCACAAGACTATGTCCTGCAGTTAGGATGACCAGATGTCCCGATTTTATAGGGACAGTCCAGATTTTTGGGGCTTTTTCTTATATAGGCTCCTATGATCCCCCACCCCCTGTCCCGTGTTTTCAAACTTGCTATCTGGTCATTCTATCTGCAGTACCCCTTGACTCTCCAATGGGCAAGGGCTACTGCAGGGCCTTGCTTCCCTCATTGGCCCACCTAGCACATTAGACCCCGCAGTGCAGTGAGTGCATGCTGCATCCCAAGGCCATAGCAGCAATCACCTTCCCACCTGCCTACTTCAGGAACAATCCCTCCACCAGGTCACACTGGAGTGCAGCTCTGCACGGACCCCAAAGCAGGACTGTGCGGTAAGGGCACGATAAACCTGTAATATCACAAATGTGGCGGAGGTTTTCTGCATGGCATTTATGGGATATCGACTGCTCCCAGCATAGTGTGTTGTTGGTTTCTTGTACTCCCACTTCGAGGCTACTCCAATACAAATAATAATAAAAATAACGCTCTGGAAGGAAAACACGACCACACATCTTGCAGATAGGATGGTCTCTATTGTAATGCAGAGATCCCATTGTCTGGTGTCTCCAGCTGACAATCAAACAGTCCTTGGGTTTTGCACTACGCCCCTGCATGAGCACTGACCCTGTGCTGCACTGTGCACACCAGCTGGTTATACACCCTAACCTTGCACTCACCACTGGGCTCCCAGTCCCTCTCCTGATATAGCCCTTTTTTAATTATTATTGAGCTTTGATGCTGAAAACTCAATTGAAGCATTTCACCCTCCCTCAATGCCCTCCAATCCCACATGCAGGGAGCAGCCAAACACGCTCCTCCCCGCACCACGGTTCTGGAGCTGTAACACCGCCTCAAGGCTCAGATGACTCTGAATTAGAGCAAGGTGAAGGCCGTTCAAGCCCCAGATTGGATTTCTATCCCAATGGCACTCTCCAAGCTCACAATCCAGCATCGATTGTCCCAGCAAGGTCCAGAGCGAGGGTTGCCTGCTGGGAATGTCCTGCACCAGGCCCCTGATGTTTAAACCTGGGCACTGGGTGCTGGAACCAGAGCCGGCTCCAGCTTTTTTGCCGCCCCAAGCGGTGAAGAAAAAAAAAAAGATAAAGCCATGATCGGTGGCACTTCGGCGGCAGCTCTACCGTGCCACTTCATTCTTCAGCGGCAATTCGGCGGCTGGTCCTTCCCTCCGAGGGGACTGAGGGACCCGCTGCCGAATTGCTGACGACGACCCGGACGTGACGCCCCTTTCCATTGGCCGCCCCAAGCACCTGCTTCCTGCGCTGGTGCCTGCAGCCGGCCCTGGCTGGAGCACATCAGCTGGCCTTCGTGGTCAGGGGGAGAGAGGCAGTCACAGCACACAGATCACTGAGGGCCAAGCCACATGGAGGGCAGTTGTGTAGCAACTTCCTGCGACAGCTGTAGCTTCCATGTGCAGGCACTTGGTACTCACCTTTCAGCATATCATCAGCCTCTCTTCTGTGGAATCATTGCTTGGGGGATGCTCACTGGCCCGTCCCAAGGGAGATGGTGTGTAACCAAAGCACCATGCTAACCCTTCCCCATCTCTCCTTTAAGCAAACAGCAGCCAAGAATTCAGCCCTACCGTGGAAAAGTGAAATCTGGGTGGTAATCGCCAGGCTACCAGTGAGCACAGCTCTTACCAGAGCAGGGAGGACGGAATGGGTATCGCTAGCTTGAGTGACAAGACCCAAGGCCCTCGTTAACCCTTTGGAGCCTGCAGACCTGGCTCTACACAATACAGACCTGTTTATCCGAAGGGCTTGGGGCCCAAACCTCCTGGATGGCCCCGGGGGATCACTGCAGCCGCCTGCACTGGGGTCAGAGGATGGCACTGGGGCTCTGGTTGAGAGTTTAAGTTAACCAATGCTCAACTGAACGCTGTGGCACTGACATAAGAGGAGTCAGACGGTGGCTAGCACCTAGCTGAGCGGACACTACGCTGGTGGGCGCAATATACAAATCTAGCTAGGCAGATGGATTAGACAGACGCAGGTGTGATGACCCCTTCTCCTGCAAACAGGGCACTCATACACGGCCAAAGCAACATGATCGTGCGGTCCTGAAGCCTGGTTCAGCCTGTGCAGGGCTCCTTGCTCGTTCTGCTCAAAGGCTGGGGGAGACTGTGCAGAGGGGTTAGGAGCAGGTCAGGCCAGCTGGGTACAAGCATGTGCATGTGGACTATACAACCCTGGGTGCCTGGTCACACCCGTTACATCCCCTTGGCACTGCAAGTCACAGAGGACATTCAGTGAGGTCGCTGCAACTTTTGGTAGTATCCAGCCAGCCAGCGTCTGTACTAGACTAGTACTGGCTACAGTTAGTA